CCCTCCCCGCCACACACACTTCAAGACGGCTGATCTAAAAAAGCAGGAAGAGAGCATCTGAGGAGCAGCAGCCCCAGCGCATTTTGAAAAACATTTGTTACATTTCAGAGTGCGGCAGCCTGTTTCTCCTCTGAAGTTGGCTCCAGCCTTAGCAGCCGCATTGGATCCCACAGCCTATTGCGAGACTCCGGTGTACAATCCGGATCTCTGCCCCAACATGATCGCGGCCCAGGCCAAGCTGGTGTATCATCTGAATAAATACTACAACGAGAAATGCCAAGCCAGGAAAGCTGCCATCGCCAAAACGATCCGAGAAGTCTGCAAAGTGGTGTCGGACGTGCTGAAGGAGGTGGAGGTGCAGGAGCCTCGCTTCATTAGTTCCTTGAACGAGATGGACAATCGCTACGAGGGGCTGGAAGTCATCTCCCCCACGGAGTTTGAAGTTGTGCTGTATCTGAACCAAATGGGGGTTTTCAACTTCGTGGACGACGGTTCCTTGCCGGGCTGCGCCGTGTTAAAGTTAAGCGACGGGCGCAAAAGGAGTATGTCCCTCTGGGTGGAGTTCATCACGGCGTCTGGCTACCTCTCCGCTCGCAAAATCCGGTCCAGATTTCAGACTCTGGTGGCTCAAGCCGTGGATAAGTGCAGTTACAGAGACGTGGTAAAGATGGTGGCGGACACCAGCGAGGTGAAGCTGAGGATCAGGGACCGGTACGTCGTACAGATCACCCCGGCGTTCAAGTGCACGGGGATCTGGCCGCGGAGCGCTGCCCACTGGCCGTTGCCTCACATCCCCTGGCCGGGACCCAACAGGGTGGCGGAGGTCAAGGCGGAGGGCTTCAACCTCTTATCCAAGGAGTGCCACTCTCTGGCCGGCAAGCAGAGCTCGGCTGAAAGCGATGCCTGGGTGCTGCAGTTCGCGGAAGCCGAGAACAGATTGCAAATGGGCGGCTGCAGGAAGAAATGCCTCTCCATCCTCAAAACCTTGCGGGACCGTCACCTGGAGTTGCCAGGCCAGCCCCTGAATAATTATCACATGAAGACTCTGGTTTCATACGAGTGCGAAAAGCATCCCCGCGAATCGGACTGGGACGAGTCGTGCCTGGGGGACCGGCTCAACGGGATTTTACTGCAGCTTATCTCTTGCCTCCAGTGCAGGAGGTGCCCACATTACTTCTTGCCCAACTTAGACCTCTTTCAGGGCAAACCTCACTCGGCCCTGGAAAACGCGGCCAAACAAACGTGGCGACTGGCTAGGGAAATACTTACCAACCCGAAAAGTTTGGAGAAACTTTAGAGGGTCACTGTAACACCGGCCTCACCGATAAATCTGCTTATTTCCCGATGAAGTTTAAGCTGCCTGTTCGAAAAGTCAAATATTTCCACTTGACAATGCAAATAATATTCTCTTTTAAAAAGGAATATAGCTTAGGCTCTTCACAAAGAAAAGAAAACGAGAACAGCAAGTATCGTTCCTCTTATCTTCGTCACAGTTTTGCAGTTCCCCGTGGAAAAAGAAAAAAACAACAACAAAAAAAACAACCAACCAAAGCCAACAAACAACAAACCAAACAAAAAAGGAAAGAAAAAAAAAAAAAGTATTTTACCCGGAAAAGAAAATTGGCCGTAATTTAACTGATTGTGACCACTCTGCCTAGAAACGGTACCATCGGATTATAACAAAACCTGGTATTTTTATGTAAACCCTCTGTGAGTAAAAGCTATTTGGATATGCCACCTGAACAAACCCTAATGTACCTTTTAATTTGTATCAAATATTGTGATCTCACATTGTCTTTGAAATTGTGGATGTTGGTGTTTTGTGATTTGGTGAACAGAAATTAAATTGCCATTTTGGATACTTCAAGGACATTTTCTGCTAAAGAGAAGATACCATTTAAAAAGGTAGATTTTATCATGGTACTTTTGTTAATTGTCTTTCGAAGTGTCTGAACTTAACAAGTTTACATTTTTCGTTTCATATATATTGCTTGTTCTATTTCTAACATTCCATAAATATACTTGAAATGTTATTTAAATATATTCAAAAGAAATTTGGATTCTGCTTATATAATAACGCTTGAATATTGGAATTATATATTTGAAAATGCACTTGAAATACACTGGATAATTACCTTTTGTGATTTAGATTTTAATTTCTGTTGCTGATTTATTTAATTACAAGCTAATAAATGAAGTAAAATGCATATGGGTAAGCGTTTCAATACCAGATCAAGTTTTCTACTTGAAAAACTAGAGGCAGCTATGTTTTGGGAATTTGCCTTTCTGTTGACAGTTGCTTAAATCCCGTAAAGCAAAAAACTTAAAGGCAGCCGCCTGATTTTGCATTTTGAATAGTTTTGTAGAAGAGGGAAATATTAGTGGTAGAAACACATTAGAGTTTAGCTTCGGATGACCACCAACAACTGTCAGACACCGAGGCAGTTATTAATACAGTAACACTTTTTCAGCCGTCAGAAAAAGAAGTCTGTTTTTGAAAGGCTCACTCTACAGCGCTGATGTGTTTCTGCTCGGTTTTGCACAAAGCTGAGGAAACACAACGTGTCCCTGAAGCAGTTGGCGTGCCGAGTAAGCAGTGAGCCTGATAAAACTAGCGTTTTGGTGCAAGTAGTAATAAAGAAGAAAATAAAATTTATAGATTAAAGGTTCAAGCCGGCACCAATAAAGTGAACAACAATATTACTTCTGACCTACAAATCCGTCCTGAATGGGATAAGATTGCAAGCTGCACTCCCAGAAAGCAAGCCCCTGTGCTCGCAGGGCAGTCAAAGGGAATAACATGTTCCTGCCTACAAAACTGCAAGCAATCCAAAACTGCCTCTCCGTACTACAGTGCCTGGTCCTTCTCAGTATGCCTTTCTTTAAAGCGGCTTTAAAATCAAAACAAAAAAACAAATCAAAGCGAAATAACAACGTGGATTTTGTTTAGTACCCTAACAGTCAACAAGTGCTGAAAGAGGCCGATTGCTTGTGTAACACCCACTAGCAACTATTTCCAGTTGGTGCACTTTAACGAAACCGTTATACTCAGCGACTGGGACAGAATCTCTCTCTGGCTTTTTTTTGTTGTTGTTGGTTTTTTTTGTTTGTTTGGTTTTTTTCAGCACGGTAAAAAATAGTTCCGAGTTTGAGAAAGTATTCGTCAAAGAGAAATCACCTTATTACAAATATATTCAGATGAGGTCGCTAGCATTTTCTTGGAAATTATTTATGGTATTTCTGCAGAAAAAAAAACAAATCCCAAGTTCAAGATCTTTATAAAAGTACCTCCTCTATTTTCTCTTTTCTAACATTTTCCAGAGCAATAACAAAGTAATAAAGCAACAGCAAGAAGAATAAAAGGAGTCGCAGGCGAGAGGAGCGCCCTGGAGCACCCGTCCCTTCTGTGTGCCCCCTCCTCCCCCTGCAGCAGCCCCCGCTCCGTCCCCGCGGGG